GCGAAATTGTCGAAGAATTGCAGCGGTCATATGAATGTAGAATAGAGTTGCTTTTGTTTTGTGCAAGCCAAAATCGGGTTAATATATATATATAAAAAAAAAAAAAAAAAAAATATATATATATATATATATATATATATATATATATATATATATATATATATATATATATATTTTTTTTTTTTTTTTTTTTTTTTTTTTATATATATATATATATATTAACCCGATTTTGGCTTGCACAAAACAAAAGCAACTCTATTCTACATTCATATGACCGCTGCAATTCTTCGACAATTTCGCTTGTCACAAATCCTTTTTGAGAAGTTTTTTACAATAGCATGTGTTTTTCTTTTTGTTTTTTAAGTACTGACCAAAAAAAAGTTTAAAAATGGCTAGAAGCAAATACAGTACATAAATAAAACAGTAAATTATCAGTAACTATGAAAACAACATATCACAGATAATGATTTCCGAGAAATATTTCATAAATATTTTTGTGATTTCATAATTATTTCTGTATACTAAGTCGGTTTTTTGAAACTGGATCAGTGGTAACAGTCTATAACGGATGAAGGCCGTGAAAAACTTCAGCCCGTACTGATCCTCAAATTGTGAGAGAAATAAAAAAAAAACAACCAGTTCAACTGGATTGGTGAGAGAGCAATCATTGGATATAAGCTCGAGATCAGTGCGTAGACTAGTAGTGGTAAATGGTCTGCATGCCCGTAAGCCATCAAAAAAGCCATTTATATCTGCAAAAATTAAAAAGGCTTTCGGAAACGATAACATTAAGTGGAATCAAGCTCAAAGGAAAAACATTATTTCTGGCATGTGTCTACGTTTAATATTGAAGGCTCAGACGTGAAAAAATTTACGGTGAGGAGACCAAAAAATGAAGGACTCATGCCGCAGTGCTACAAGGCTCGAGTGAAGCATGAGGGAGGGTCAAAAATGTGGTGGCGCTGTTTTTCTTTCTATGGACTTGGGCCTATCCATGAAATAAAGGAAGTTATGGATCGGTTTGTTTAGAAAGATGTGTTGGACATCACGTTGTTCCCTAACGCTGAGTGAAACATTCGTCTCAATTGGGTGTTTCAGCATGACAATGATCCCAAACTTGCATAAAAACTTGTCAAATATTGGTTGCGGGAGTCAAAAATCGATGTTTTGTCATGGCCGGCACAATCACCTGACCTAAACTCCATAGAAAACCTTTGAAGTATCGTAGATAGGAAGATCAAGCGAGATTCGGAAAGAAATAAGCACAACATTTTCTAAAGAATCGGGGTGCCTGGGAAAGCATACCCAAGGATCAAATTGAGCGTGTTATAGATTCAATGCCTCGTAGGTGTGCAGCTGCTATCAAAAATAATGGACCCTTCGACTACTAGCCAAAATTTAATTATTTTAAAATAAAAAATCAAAAAGTAGTGTGGCTGAAAGTAAGAACCGGTTTGATATTAGAAATAGAAGAAGCTGAATTACCGAAACAATATTGGGGAGAAGCCCTATTGTGCGCTAATTATTTGCAAAATAGTTTGATTACAAAATCTGTTCCATCCTATACGAAAAATGACAGGGTTCCAAACCGAATACAGAAAATTTTAAAATATTTGAAACAAAAGCTATGTTTAGATTCCCCGTGTGAAAAGAATGAAGTTGGACAATTAATCTATGTTGTTAACGTTCATGGGATATGGTGAAGAAAGTAAGGGTTTGCGGTTTGCTTATACAGAAACCAATAAAGCCACGATAAACAGAGATTACAGATTTATGAATTCAAATAAAAAGGCTGAAAGCGACTGAAAATAGGATTCTTGTCGATATTTGATCGATGTTTTTTAAAAAGAAATGTAAAAGAAGCTGAATCTCGTGATGATTCTTTCCATAGTTTGAACAGTGATTTGGAATATTTTCCTGAGAAAAAAGAAGTGCCAGCTACAAGAAATGATGGTATATGATGATGATGGAAACTATAGTAGATTTTCAAGAATAAATAAAAGTGTTCTACCAGATCGATATTCGGCATGTGTTATGAAATCTGATTCTATTATTGAACGTAAAACATACAAGGAAGCAGTTTTATAATAACAAAAAAATGGTCTACTGCAATGCAGGAGGATTTAATGTTAGAAAAGTGAGATTTAGGTGATAAATCAGAAAATGCAAATATAGTTGGATGTAAATAGATTTATAAATTAAAAACAACTCAACGCTATATACCGCGACTTGTACCCAAACGTTTTAATCAGAAAATGTAGCTGATTATGATGAATTGTTTGCTCATGTAACAAGACAATCAACGTTTCGAATTTTACTGTCAATTGCTGGACAAAAGAAAATTCATGCTCATCACATGGATATCAAGTGCGCTAACGTTTGTAATCTAAAGAAAAGCATTCATAGTTTAAAGAAAGAAGCATATGTTTGGAATAAGGTTTCAAAGACAATTTGACTAACGAGAAGGTGGTAATACGCCAAAGTCATCAATGGGGGAGAATTATATATTTTGGTGTGTGTTGATGATTTATTGGTAGCTTCAAATATTGGTGAAATGTTGAATAATCATTTTGAAGTCAAGAATCTCAGTCCAGTATCAAGTACAACCTTCAGTATCTGAAACTTTGATGACAAATGTAGAACATCAAAGTCTATTGGGATATTTACTCTACGTAGCTGTTAACACCCGACCTGACATTGCCGAAACTATATCCATATTATTTCTCAAAATAAGTTGTCCTACGCAAAAAGATTGGATTGAACTATAACGCGTAGTAAAATATTTAAAAGGAATGTACTTAATACTCAGTTGTGAGATTAATACGCCGAATATTCTAGTCGGATTAGCCGATGCTAATTGGTCTGATTGCCGAGTTGATCAAAAGAATAACTCTGGCTATTTGTTATTATTGAATGGTTGTGCATTCAGATGCAAGAAATAGATAATTGTCTCTCTGTCTACAACTGAAGCAGGATTCATCCCATTGCCGGAAGAAGCAAAAGAAGCCAAGTGGCTTAGGAAAATTTTTGAAAGCCAGCAATTTCCCCAATGGAAATTTTCGAAGACAATAGAAGCTATTTAATTTAATAAAAGAGGAGAATTTGAGTAATAGAAATAAGCACCTTGATAAGAAATATTATTTTGTTAAGGATTATGACAAAAAGAAGATAATAGAAAGTTTTTATTTGCAATATGAAGAAATGCTCGCAGATTCGCTGACTAAGCCACTAACTTTATCGGAATTGGAAAATCTTAGAGTATTGGCCAGTCATGTACATTTGAGGTGGAGTGTGGGAATTGACACTTGTATATGAAATGTGCTGGTAATCCAGAAGTATTTATTATTTTACGAGCCTCCGTATTTTATTTCTAATAGATTTAAGTGATAGCCACCTTGTTTGTTTAGGACTGAGATCTGGCAATTGTTGTATGTCTTCAAACCATTTAGGGCTATGCCCAATATAATCGTGGATGTTTCATTCCAAGGCCTCTATTTCGGATGGCATCGAAGGAACATAATGATAATGAGTGGAAAATACATTTCATCATGCACTTTTTAAAAAAGTTGGGAATTTTGTAAAATATTTCAAACATAATTCGTGTAAACTTTTTACAAAATACTTCGTACATACTTTTCAGTGCGGTTGAGGCGGCAATAAACAATAAATATTCTAAAATTACATATTCCCACCCGCCAAAAATATCACATGTGAACAATTCGATGGTCTTGTGCACTGACGCATACAATAATGTGTGAGATAATAAAGGTTATGACCCACATGCACAGATATCGATGCGCTCAGTAGATGAACAAGACCACTTGAATGAAATGTCAAGCAGCCCTGAAATGTTCTCCGTTCAATATTAGAATTAATACGAATAATTGTGTGGCTGCTATTAGGTTAAATTAGATTAGTTTCAGTAGTACTTAAGAAACATATTTAAAAAAAAAAACTAGAATTGAATCTACACCCAAGAATAGAGAAGAGAGTTGACAATCGAAGAGAAAGAAATGAAGCAGATGTTCCAGCAGATGTCTAAACAACTGCCAAATGTAAGAGAGGGACATAATGCTGTTGAAAGAATAGATTCCAGGATTGGAAGGAAATTCTGGGAATTTTTTCCCGCCGGCAAGTCCTTATTTTAAGGAACGAGATCTGGAAGGAAATTCTGGTGACGCACCCGCGCTGACAGATGGAAAACCACTCCGGGAGGAACTTATCAAGTTACTTAAAAATAATCGAAAAGTGGAAAAAGAAGAGAGAAGAGACAAAGTTCTCTGGTTCCTGAACGGTATTGTCTTAGAGAAATCAATAGCAAATCACCAATGGCCGTTAAAATGGAAGACGACAGATCGGAGTTTATCTTGAAGCCATTGAAAATCCTTTACGACGTGAATGATGGCGGTCTGCAACGATGGATTATTAATTCGGTATGGAGAATGAAGCCGGCAGATAAAGGTGGTGGCATCGGCAAGAGGGACTGGACAAAGAAGTTGAGTCGTTTCCTGGAAGGGGTTTCCTAAATGAATAGTATATCAATTCTATACTTAGTTATACATGGATTACTCGTCATATTTTTATATTTAAACGTTTCAGTAGTACTTAAGAAACATATTTTTAAATAAAAAGTAGAATTGAAATAGAACCCAGACGGAACGGTTGTCTTTTTTTCTTATTTACAGAAGCCAATGAAAGAAATTAGGAATCTCAATTAGATCTGTAGATTCATCTGTACACGAAGAAAATGTGATTCGCATTTTTGTAGGAAAATAAATTCTTAGCTTTAGAAGCATTGACATAACATGTTAAGTATTAAAGCAATAAGATTATAAAATATTCTTTCTAAAAGAAAAAAAAAACAGCAGCAAAAACCGAACGTATTATTTTCAAACTACAGTTTTCACAACTTAATTTCTTTTTTCACAATATATACTCTATGTGTATAGGCGATCTTACTGCTGTTTAGTTTATCTTACTGTTTCGTATCTTAAACTTACCTTAAAGATATGTTATCCTTACGAATAGAGGGTTTGTAATCTGAAATTTATAGAAGACAAATTGAGAGGATATTAATCCAATATATATATATATATATATATATATATATATATATATATATATATATATATATATATATATATATATATATATATATATATATATATATATATATATATATATATATATATATATATATATATATATATATATATATATATATATATAAAATATATATATATATATATATATATATATATATATATATATATATATATATATATATAAAATATATACATATATATATATATATATATATATATATATATATATATATATATATATATATCTATATATATAAATGTAAGTTGTGTTAGTTACTACGCTTATAACTTAAGAACCGCTGGATTAATTTTAACGATTCACACAAATTCGGAGTTGTCTACTCTCCGAAAAGGATAATATCCAAAAAAATCGCGTAAAAATGTGATATATTAACATTTTCATTTTGACTTTTCAAATGTACAATAGTAATGTTTTATTTTGCATGATTTTTTCCATTTTGACTTACTTTTTTCTAATGTACATTTGTAGTGTTTTTTTATATTTTATTTTTGAATTCGAATATTTATACCAATTTATTTAATTGACTTGATTTCTTGAGAACTGAAATTGATGGCGGGTTACATGGAAGTGTAGTAGCGAATTATGTGGTGGCGAAACGGAATAGATGATATCGAAATAATTTAACGCGGTCACACCAAAGTTAAAAGATAATTACTTTTTCTAAATCGCCGAAAAATCATGAAAAAGAGATCTCATTGGAAAAATCAAAAAAACATTTTCAATGGAATCGAATTTTAAAGTAATAGTACATTCTATTGACAAACTTTGTAAGGAAGGATCTTAAAACATTTGCTGTAAAAAATCAGGGAAAAAGTTGAAGACTTTTTCAATTTGTTATTCTTTTTTTTGTCAATTTTTTTTTGTGAACAAAATAAAGAATAATTTTTCACTAAAAAAATTAAATAAGTGCGAAATAGGATGTTAACTGACATCTACCTTTCAACTCCAGGGCCTACATCGTGGGTTAGCTGAAAGATGCGAACACATTTAAACAAACAAAAATGACCGAAAAAGCTTAATGGGGCTCATTTCAAAGCGTGACAATGATCCGTCCAATGAGAGCTCAAAATGCAAAATTCTTTGGGAGAATAATAAGTAATATACCAATATTGAAATAAAAGGTGCAAAATAGTAGAGCGAATGGGACTTTTAGTAAGAAAAGGTTTTATATCCTTCCAGAAATTCTTCCCAAACATTCAAAATACCTAAAATCACATTTGCAGGTCTTTATATCGATCATAACTCATGGATAAGGGAACAACCCGATTTCATATTTATATAACCATCTATGATTTAAGTTATTTTTGGGGTCTTGGCCGGCCACTTTTTTCATTTTTTGGCCCTTATTTGACATTTTTGTTTCTAAGGGGGTAGATAACCTCTTCGCATAAAATTTGAAATTTTCAGAGTAGGGCCCATATTGGTATTGACCAAATTCATCAATTGATTTGGCTAAAAAATTTTATTTATGCCACCCTGGGGTAGGGAACCATCATACAGATAATTGCCACATAGGAATTTATTTAAGTAAAGTCCCCACATTGGAGTATCCCCAAGTCAACTTTCACATCTAATGTGTGGTCAGAAAAGAAAATTTTGTATTCTATTGAATTTTTAACCCCCAAGAGAATATTGGTTGGGAACGAAGATTTGGGATGTGCATCCATATGAAATAAATTGTGTAAACATGAAGAAATTACAAATATAAGAAAGTAGCACGGGACCGAATATTTGTTTAATCATCATTGGATTATCCTATGATGAAAATATGGACTTTAAGGGGTCTCCAACTTACAATTTAAATGGCAAATAAAATTAATTCCCATCTTATCATTCTGCCCTCAATTATGAGGTGGATAAAACTATTTTTACTTATTTAAATCACGCGAAATGCTATGATATGCTATATTGTTCTGCTATATTTTTGATTTGGCCTCTATTTGTCATCTTGGATTATAAGGGGTAGAAGAAAGTTTTCAATGTAGGTCGATGTTTCGGAGTAGTGCCCATATAAAGAAGGTACCTCCTAATTTAACCACATTTCAAAGAATTTGGCTAATAATGCGTATTAGGGGGGGTGAAAATCTTACACTAAAATTTCAACATATCTACAAATTTTAGAATTTTTATCCATGTTATAATACCCTCTCAAGTCCACCTTTTGGCGGACAAACAGACTGACATGGTTAGGGGGACTTATGAGGACTCTAATGCACAATCTAAGTTGCTAATGGGTTTAAAAAAGTAATTAACTTTGGCTATTCTTAAATCATTCAGCCCTCAATTATGTAGTATACAAAATACAGCAAATTCCAAATTACTGCTCATTTGACTGGAAGATTTTGCTACGATTTTTACCATATTAAAAATTAATTTGATCCCTTATATGGCGATAAGATTGATATATACTTTTTAATAGATTTGTATAGCACATCCACACAGTTGAAGCCCACGGTTTAAATATTGAAGCCCACTGGTTAAAAATGGGTACAGGTATTTTAAAACACTTTAAATCGACCTGTACGTGAACACTTATATCAGTCATATCTGTGAATAATTATGCTTGGGAATATATGCATAATAGACAAAAACTACGGGCCGGCAACGCGGACCGGGCCAGCTAGTATATATATATATATATATATATATATATATATATATATATATATATATATATATATATATATATATATATATATATATATATATATATATTACAAGGGAAAAGGAAATTTATGAGACATATTTTGGACCACTGGAATCATCAAAATGCCGAATATCGCTAGGTACCGTTATATGCGAGCTGAAAACATGAACCTACATATTAAATGTTCCGCCACCGGAGCAAGAACTCATTACGAACTACAAATAGCTTTTTTACACCATTTCGTGGAACATTTTGGCTAAAAGCATTAAAAATTTGCAATTTACCAGTGTAGCTTAGTTATAATCAGTTTCAGTACTGATGGATCTTCAAGACACTTACATGAATGAATGCATAAAGAAGGATAATGAAACAAAATTTTATATTTTAGTAAAAAAGTCAATTCTATTTTATGATATGCAGGAACCAATTAATAAAAATCTGTAATGTTTATTTAAATTATATTTATTTCTTTGTGGTATAGGTTTAAAAACAGTTTTATAATTTCGGTATAAATATGCCCAAACAACGTATATGCACCACTCAAATGAATGTGCTGATATCTGAAATATAGTTGAGTACAGATAGTCTTATAATATTTGAGGTACTGCTGATTAGAGGTGAATTCTATTATTTATTAATATATTGTATTGTATTTATTTAAATATTGTATTTTTTAATTAAAAATACTCCTCCATCCTCTTCTGTTACATTGTTATCCTTCACTTCTTTCTTTAACAGCAATTATGTTGTGACACGACAGATACCTATTTGATCCCTTTTCGGAACAACTCTAATTTAGTAAAAACTCTTCGATTATTTCGAAATTTTTTCCAGAGGTAGGTATTTTTAGCCTCATTCCGGGAAACAATTTTTTTCTTGGGGGACGGACCCGGGACCCCGGGTTCAAGACCTGGGCTGGACCCGGATTCACTTATCCGATATAGACTATGTAGGTATCGTTTGAAAGCTTGAAAATACCTATCTAACAAGTGGTCACATGATGGGGTAAGTGGTCACGGTCTGAAAGTTATAGTCAAATTATTGATTTTTTAAACCCGGATTTTTTATAAAACCCCCAAAAAGTCGAAAAAGGGCCCATTATGGGGATCAACAAAATTAATGCCAAATTATAGCTCTTACCTTTCCAAAATGCTACAATTTGTGCTAATACCTTTTTCGGGTCCAGAGATATGGGTCTTTCCAACCGCATACCCCTTCATGTGACCACTTGCTGGATTAGTATCATAAACTTTCAAACGATACCTATTTTGCCTATATCGGGTAAGTGAATCCGGATCCAGTCCGAATCTTGAACCCGGACTTTCGGGTCAAAAATCTGGGGTCCCGGTTCGTCCGTGCGTCCCCCAAGAAAAAAAGGTTTCCCGTAATCAGGGTAAAAATACCTACCTCAGGAAAAAAATTCGAAAAAGTCGAAGTCTTGTAGTATTTGCGAAATCATTTGATATTATAGTTAAGCATGTCGATCCATTCCAATTGTACTTCCTGCTACATGAATTTACTTCCTTTTGAACACATTCCATATGCTCCTTATTGTTTTTAAAATACGAATACAAAATCTTGTTGCACATTGTTCCATAAAAGTTCCAGTCACTAAAATTGGAACTTCTCAAAGTTTTAGTACCTGAAGAAACATAAAACAGAAAATCTTGTGTAAACTTTACTGTAACATAATAAAATAATTCTTAAATAATAACAATCCTACCTACCTAACAAAAAACAATGAGTACAATATATGTTATAGTCGTCGAGAAATTGCAAGTTCTTTCTCCAGATATTTGCAAAAATGACCTATTTTTCAAAATGAGGGAGAATTGTCGTTTTTGTCCAATTACTTTGTTACCTTAGTTTCAATGTGTTTACTATGGAATCCCATATAGAAATAAAAAATCGGTGACAAAAAATATGAGGTGTTGGCCAGGAAAATCGATTTATAAACCGTTTTGTGATGTAGTCTCTAAGCAATTTTTAACATATTCATAGTAAAAATATTATTAATTATTTAATATTAACTGTATATTTTAAGGAACCAATAAAAAATAATTAAGTCTTCTTACCACACTAAACCCTAATTTTGGCCAAAAACTTGTTGAACCGATCCGGAGCAGAACCGGTTCAGAATCGGTTGGCAGCTTTGGACTTATAAACATTTTCATTTGTCATAAATAAACGTTATTTTAAAAAAAAAAAAAAAACAATTATGAGATTAAGTTTAACTATTTTGCTACGACAAAATAACAAAATGCAAACACTATTCTATCACCATCCAGTTTTACGGTGGTGATGTCTCCATTACTTAAAATAGAAGGAAATAACTGGTTAAAGGTTCGTTCGCAACTATTGAACTCCTCACCTCCTCTCCATTTCGGGTGCGAAAACTGTATAGATATTGCAGTTTAGTTGGAGGCGATTATTGAATAGATTGGGCTCCTAGAATGAGGCGCCCAATGTGAGTGTACCTTTTTATACACTCCAACTTGGAAAGGAGGGTATATTAAATTGGTCATTCCGTTTGTAACATATCTAAATATTCGTTGTTGACCCCTTTAAGTATTTAACGATGTGCCCGTTTGTTGAACGATACATCCCACATTATGTGACGTAGAGCTTCAAAATTGGGCACAATAGTTTGTATTGTGTCTAGGATGGTGTATTGAAAATGAGGTATAAGAAGACTTAATTATTTTTTATTGGTTCCTTAAAATATACAGTTAATATTAAATAATTAATAATATTTTTACTATGAATATGTTAAAAATTGCTTAGAGACTACATCACAAAACGGTTTATAAATCGTTTTGCCCGGCCAACACCTCATATTTTTTGTCACCGATTTTTTATTTCTATATGGGATTCCATAGTAAACACATTGAAACTAAAGTAATTGGACAAAAACGACAATTCTCCCTCATTTTGAAAAATAGGTAATTTTTGCAAATATCTGGAGAAAGAACTTGCAATTTCTCGACGACTATAACATATATTGTACTCATTGTTTTTTGTTAGGTAGGTAGGATTGTTATTATTTAAGAATTATTTTATTATGTTACAGTAAAGTTTACACAAGATTTTCTGTTTTATGTTTCATCAGGTACTAAAACTTTGTGAAGTTCCAATTTTAGTGACTGGAACTTTTATGGAACAATGTGCAACAAGATTTTGTATTCGTATTTTAAAAACAATAAGGAGCATATGGAATGTGTTCAAAAGGAAGTAAATTCATGTAGCAGGAAGTACAATTGGAATGGATCGACATGCTTAACTATAATATCAAATGATTTCGCAAATACTACAAGACTTCGACTTTTTCGAATTTTTTTCCTGAGGTAGGTATTTTTACCCTGATTACGGGAAACCTTTTTTTCTTGGGGGACGCACGGACGAACCGGGACCCCAGATTTTTGACCCGAAAGTCCGGGTTCAAGATTCGGACTGGATCCGGATTCACTTACCCGATATAGGCAATATAGGTATCGTTTGAATGTTTATGATACCAATCCAGCAAGTGGTCACATGAAGGGGTATGGGGTTGGAAAGACCCATATCTCTGGACCCGAAAAAGGTATTAGCACAAATTGTAGCATTTTGGAAAGGTAAGAGCTATAATTTGGCATTAATTTTGTTGATCCCCATAATGGGCCCTTTTTCGACTTTTTGGGGGTTTTATAAAAAATCCGGGTTTAAAAAATCAATAATTGACTATAACTTTCAGACCGTGACCACTTACCCCATCATGTGACTACTTGTTAGATATATATTTTCAAGCTTTCAAACGATACCTACATAGTCTATATCGGATAAGTGAATCCGGGTCCAGCCCAGGTCTTGAACCCGGGGTCCCGGGCCCGTCCCCCAAGAAAAAAATTGTTTCCCGGAATGAGGCTAAAAATACCTACCTCTGGAAAATATTTCAAAATAATCGAAGAGTTTTTACTAAATTAGAGTTGTTCCGAAAAGGGATCAAATCGGTATCTGTCGCGTCACAACATAATTGATGTTAAAGAAAGAAGTGAAGGATAACAATGTAACAGAAGAGGATGGAGGAGTATTTTTAATTAAAAAATACAATATTTAAATAAATACAATACAATATATTAATAAATAATAGAATTCACCTCTAATCAGCAGTACCTCAAATATTATAAGACTATCTGTAATCAACTATATTTCAGATATCAGCACATTCATTTGTGTGGTGCATATACGTTGTTTGGGCATATTTATACCGAAATTATAAAACTGTTTTTAAACCTATACCACAAAGAAATAAATAAAATTTAAATAAACATTACAGATTTTTATTAATTGGTTCCTGCATATCATAAAATAGAATTGACTTTTTTACTAAAATATAAAATTTTGTTTCATTATGCTTCTTTATGCATTCATTCATGTAAGTGTCTTGAAGATCCATTAGTACTGAAACTGATTATAACTAAGCTACACTGGTTAATTGCAAATTTTTTACAAATGGTTTAATTTTATATATATAATATTTTCTTTTAAATTGTAAATAGCATACGTGTAGTACACTACTTATATCAGATTTTGTTTCGTACCTAATCCATAGAAAGAGGTAACACTAAACTACATTCAAAAAGCTCGGAAACTTAGTCATAAATTTCCGGGAGACTGCAGATTGATCAGCTTATTAAAATTGTAATACAATATGCACACAGCGGCACGACTACGTCAAAGTTAGGTCAGTGCAGACGGCATTAGAGGAATATGGGAAAATTCCAATTTTACTTTGGCAGTTGTGACAACAACCTACTGGATGTAGTTAAATAAATTGAATCGCAGAAAAACTTATGTTTTTCATTTGTAGAATTTATTTATAACATAATAAGTATGATCCACAATTATGAAATATTAATTCCACAAAACTGAAATTAACTTCAATATGCAAGTTTTTAACCTCTAAAAATTCACCTTAATAATTCATATCTCAATAGTTTGCGTTTGTCATCAAGTACGTTAGAATTTAAAAAATCAGTTAACGATTGTTTGAAAATAATTAGTAATAATTTATTAAGACCAGTGTATTATTATTAATAACATAATTGTTAATTAACGTATTTTTGATTATTACAAATTTGCCATAACCTAATCATAAGGTACACACCGAGCGGGGTTATATATAAACGGTTTTAGAGATGATCCTATGAACATGTTTTTATAATAAAAGAGAATAGCGGGGCTACTTAGTGTAGATGAAAGGGAATTGTTAATCAGGATCTTTCTATTGCAGTCCACATTAAAATAGATAAGACGAGCAGACCTTCGAGTTAGAAATAAATAATATAGAATTTTAAATTGCTGCGTGTTGTATGTTAGCTTTAGATCCTGAGGGTGTTTGTCAGTTCACCTACCAGGCGCGTCCCCACCGGCGGATAGGGGGGATGGATGATCACACTATTTTGCTCGAACTAGGGCGTCTAGCTACGAACTGGGTGGAGCGGAATAGTGTGATCACCAGTCCCAAGGAGTTTTTACTCCCCGCGGACAAAAAACTGACTTCAGGATGGTTCCCCAAAAACAAAAAAACACACATTGAAGAAGGAATAAAGAAAGAAAAAGTTACGGTGCAGGGAGTAAATAACCCAGTACCGGCGGGTGTTTGTGATCCTGCCACGAGTCACACCCTGTCGTCATCCAACGATCGTGTGCAAATTCCTCCCGGAGATGTGGGTGCCTTGGCATCTGTGGTCGAAGGTATTGCTACAAGCACGGCCTTCGGGCAACAAAACAGACAGAGGGTCTGAGGAACTCAGGGGAAGCATACGCTCGACCCAGCCTTCAACGACTCCGACTCCGACAGCAGCAGCAACAATACTACCGTCCTGCGAAACCCTACTAAGGAAGAGGCGCACAAGACGATAGAAGAAGTGAGTGACAGCTTGGCGAAGCTCACAACCAGAACAAAAAAGCTGTCTGGGGCCCAACGGCGAAAGCTCAAAAGGCAACAAAACAGCAAAAATGCTAAGGCGCAGGATGTTCCAAAGGGGGCTACAAATACTCTCCCACTCCGTTGGAGACACCGAAGAGGATAAGGTCCCCTTATCCGGGTCCTTTCGCGAAGCCGGCGAAAAAGAAAAAGAGCTTCCCACCTGCAGATGCTCCGGGCAAACTACGTCAAGGGCCTCGTAAAAGAATCTGTAACAGGAATCCTTTGACCGCAAAGACAGCCAAAAACAGTTGAGGGACGAAATGCATTATGCATTCATTGATCGATACCAACAAAGGTTCAGGCAACTTGCATAAAGACCATTTGGAAGATTTAGAGGAAATGGTCAACAATAATAATTTGGATCACATCATGGAAAGTGGAGATTCAATACGTATCGCGAGCAGCGGCATGAAGAATAATAAAATATTCTTCAAGCTTCCTGCGCATGCCAACACTGCCGCCTTAAAGGGGATTATCGAGAAGATAAAACCCCCGTGGGAAAACGGCAGCCTAGAGTTGGTGAGGTGGAACGAAATTCCTCGCCTAACTAAAACGACGGTATACGTCAGAGGATTTGGCAGCAAATTCGGGAAGGAACGTATGCTCGAAGTCTTTGGAATGCAAAATAAGACTTTGGACGTGAAGAGATGGGAAGTCTTTCACAGAGAGCAGAAGGAGGATGGCACTCTCCTTGTGATTGGAGTTGACGATCTCTCGATGGCCAGTCTGACAAAGACTAAGGGCATGGTATTCTATGTCTCGAACGCTGTCAAGTTCAAAAATAATAAGGTGAGGATCGGAGACGAAGACACCAAGTGTAGCAGCGAAGAGGAGAAAGAAGACCCCCCAAGCAACACAGAACAGGGGGTCGGTGACAATATTACCGACTCTCAAGAAGCCCGTCTACTGGAGGACCAATGATCAAGGCGATCCAGATCAACCTTCATCAGAGCGAGACGGCAACCTTGGCTCTAATGAAACTAATATATTCAGGTAAGATGCACATTGGTTTAATTCTGGAACCTTGGACAGTTCAGAACGAGGTCTCTGGACTAAATCATATAAACTACCAACTATTCTATGCCAATACAGGGTCTCGACCGAAAACTTGTATAATATGTCACAAAAACTTATGTTTTCTTTTCTCCCCAGAATTATCGACAATGGTCTGAGGCAGGGGAATGGAAACATATACCTAGCGTCAGTATACTTAACGTTCGACGCGCCGACATTACCACCTTCGTCGGAACTGCAACGGCTGGTGAGCAAAACAAAACAAACAGGTAACGAAGTACTAGTAGGTAGCGATGCTAACTCTCACCAAATAGCGTGGGGTATTGCTAACATTAATAAAAGGGGCCATTCCCTACTAGATCATCTAAATACTAACGACCTAATAATTCATAACATTGGGAATAAAGCAATCTTTGTAAACAAAATTAGGGAGGAGGTTTTAGACATTAATTTTTGTTCAGGAAATCTTATAAACGAGATTCAGAATTAAGTTCTGAACTAACACGGCCCCGCCGAACCCAATACGTTTCCGGAACAAATCCAAGACTGACTGAATGAAGTATGAGAGACTAGTAAAAGAGAGGCTAGGACAGGGAATTGAATGCCTAAGCACAGACGACATAGACAGAGATGTCAATAGGTTAACGGAGACCCTAGTAATGTCCTTCGAGGAATGCTGACCACTTCGAGAGAGGAAATCTGCCTACGAAAAACCCTGGATGGCAGGGGAAGTTCGTATCAAAGGAAAAGAAGCCCGAAGACTTTACAACAGAGCTCGGCGTAAAAAACTGGCAGTGTTCTGGGACAGCTACCATGACAAACTTAAAGAATACAACAAAATAGTAAGAACTCCTGGAAGCTTTTCTGCGAACAGGTTGATAGCGTGAATGATGTTTCAAAAATAAAAGTTTCTTTCAAAAACCTTAGGGCTTCTGATGAGCACACACTTCCCGCCGAGCATCACGACACACGCGGATATATCGGAAGATAGAAGGATCGCGACTGAGGAAGCACCTAAAATTGATGAATCGATGGTTAAGGAAGCCATCAGCAGTTTACGGCAACAGGACCAGATATGGTCTTCCCGGCTCTGCTCTAAAAGGAAGTGGACCTTATTTCGTCCAACTTAGCCGGAATTTTCAATGCGTGCCTAGGGTTTGCGTATACCCCTAAAGCCTGGCAGGAATCGAGGGTAGTTTTTAAACCCAAATCTGGGAAGGCAAGCTACGCAATACCCAAGTCTTATCGGCCGATAAGTCTAACATCGTTCTTACTCAAAACCATGGAACGCACAATCGATACCATGATAAAGAACAGGATTTCAAACGATATGCTTAAATACAAACAGCATGCATACGTTAAAGGACGTTCAGTGAAATCGCATTACATGAGGTTGTACACCACATCGAGAGCACCTTCGATAAAAATATTATGCACTAGCAGTATGCATTGACATTGTAGGTGCGTTCAACAACGTCAGCTCAGATACACTCATCCAATTTTTAGTTAATTTTCAGGTCAACCGGGCCCTTAGGGACTCTATAAACCATATGCTAAGGAATAGATGGATAAGCTGTGGGTTATATGACGGTAACATAAGGGACAAAGTTGGTCAAGGAACTCCACAGGGAAGGATATTATCACCCCTCTTGTGGGTTACCACCATTAACAGTCTTCTAAGGACTTTAACCAATGAAGGCTTTGAACCAGTCAGAGGGGCCGAGTCGCCTCTGAAACTTGCATACAACTGGGCCAGACCGAGAGGTCTTAACGTTAACCCGGAAAAACTGAGATACGTCTATCAACTAGGAAAAGAAAACTGGGCCACATCGTTAAACCGGTCTTCCTGAACAAGATAATCAATATTTCCAATAAAATTAAATATCTGGGTGTGATTCTAGATAGGAAACTTAATTGGAGGGACCACATCCAAGAAACAGCAAACAAAGCTCATAGATGTTGGACAACGTGTAAAATGGCTATAGGCTCTAAATGGGGTTTCAATACAAAGATGACAAACTGGCTATTCAAAAGCGTAATTAGACCTGTTCTAGCATACGAATAGGTAGTCTGGTGGACAGCTATGAACAAAAAATGTAATATCAAAATACTACAGAAAGTCCAACGAATGTGCTGTTTAAGCATTTGCGCCTCAATGAGGGCATTAGAGACAATCCTATTTGTTCACCCAATTGAAATTCAGATACGGTATGAAGCGGCCGTCGCGGCCTTACGGCTCAGGGCGATGGACGAGTGGATAACACGCTACATACAATCAAACTATTTTACAGGTAACAACGGGAGAATCTATAGAAAATTTTGTATTGGGCCGGATATCTGAGACTTTTGTAGCTGCCTCATGTAAAACATTAATCCCTACCAGAGACTCGTGGATCGACGGATTCCTACCAAAAATGCCGACTGGAAACTGTTGTTAAACAGACGGCTCAATGCCTGGGGAGAGAGCGGGACTGGGACTTTTTATCGAGGATACAAACACCAAAATCTCTTTCCGCTTGCCCGATCACAACACCAACCTGCAAGCGGAGGTCCGGGCGATTTCAGAGTGTCTGAACTGGCTTAATGCCAACACGAGACCAGCTACCGTAAACGTCGTAACGGACAGCAAGTCAGCTATAAGGGCTATAACATCCAAAACAGTAACTTCAAAAACTGTTTTCGTATATATAAATTCAATCAACAACTATTCTCAACACGGCGTAGTACGCATGATATGGGTACTAGGTCATACGGGAGTTAGGGGTAACGAGATAGAAAACTCTCTCGCCAAAACAGGCAGGGAATTTCAGATCCCAATTCTTAGAGAAGAACTCCATACCAGACCTTAATCAGACCATGGTAAATGATATAAGACAGTTAAGAAATTTCATAAAGGCAACTGAATTTCAAATATAACAGACTGTAAACTGTCCGCCTTCTTCAAAAAACCCTTAGTCTAGAGCGCACAACAGGCCTATACTGGCTTAAGTGTATGCCCAACTTCGCGAATTGCTTCGCCCCTCTTTTCAACCTAACCTATCCTAACTTTAGATTATGAAATCTTTACTCAGACTAATAAGAAAGTGCAGCATGTTTGCTTGCCACATGTGAGATAGCTATGCGTGTTTATGACAGTTGGTATCTATCTCTCTTTCACACTTAATGCTAAGTTAAGTAAAGTTATATTATCAAAAGTAGTGTCTTACAAACGCTCATCAAAGAAACATATTGGGTCTACCAAATTTACTGATTCCGGTTTACAAATGTATTAAAAATTCGTTAAAATACAACAAACAATATTTAAAAGTATGAAAATGCCAAAAAATAATTACATACAAATATTAAATAAAATTTATAATATATTTATTATTAATAACAATACATCGTCTGAAAATCGTCAATATTCAAACTTATTGATTGCTAGTAAACAAGAATTTGTAAAAATATTACCAAGTGAACGCTACTGCAGCAAAAAGTCCACCTTTAAATTTTAGATTCGTTCCAACAGTCCGTGTTAGGCCTTTTAGTACTCAAAATGCGCAACCTGTATACTTTGATATTTTTAATCAAAACTTCATACGCCGTACTAAAATGTCAGACTTTAATGTTTTAAAGTTTTTAATTTTTCGGAAAGAATAATAGGAAAATGTTTACTTTAAAAGTGTTATATTTTGAAGTGTACAAGGAGGTGGCAATCTGAGTGACTGGAATAATAACATGCTAAAGGAATCTCAAGTTGTGATGAAGATGCCTGGTGGAAGTGGTGCAGCGAGTAAAATACAGGCTGGAGTGACAAGAAATTATGAGCGCTTGCAACGCTGGAACGATAAGCTGTCCAAGGTTGTAAGATGGAGCTGTTAGAGAAATATCACACAACTAGCTGCAGAAAGAAGACGCAGGAATAGATAGTAGACATTTGTTAAAATAGGGATCTTTTAAGTAAACATTAAATAAGATGAGAAAAAGTAGTGAGCAGTAAATAATGTAGAATTTTCAATTGCCGCATATGGTATGTTGGAGTTAGATTACGCGATACGCAGACTGATGAAGCAAGTGCAGGTTTGCTTGCCACATGTGATAGCGGGTTAAGCTAAGATTTGTGGCGGCATGGTGCATAGACACGTGTATATTTGGTATCTCTCTCTCCCTCCCTCTAACACTTAATTCTAAGTTTGGTTAAGTCATATTAACCACTTAACAAGGAAAAACGTGGAGAAAACCACCTCCATATGTATAGACTACACATGAACAGCGAGCATAGTGTTCAAATAAAAAAAACTCTGGTACGTTTATCCTACACGGCATCACACAGCAAAAAAACGAAAATATTTTGAAGAGAACTGAGAACAAAAAAAAAATACCAATATTTACAACAACGAATAAAAAACAGGAAATTAAGTTTGTAACACTCAGAGCACACCCACAAATGTAATATTTCCATGGATACATTTAAAAATGTTCAATAGAATATTAAAGGACTAGTAAATAACTAAACAGAACTTAAACTGTTAATTAAAGACAAATTGCCAACACTAGTTTTAAAGAAGGAAGGAAGGTAAAATAATACATTTCAAGCATCGCTATCGGAGTATAATTATAATATTTTATCTCCATTTACATACACCCTAACGAACATTTACTGCAAATTTTTTCAAAATACACACACTTCTATCGTTTATGGGGGTCGAGCAAAATCAACGAGGGTTAAAGTTCGAATATGCTCTTAATATGTATAATCTTTGCATATTAAACGATGGCAATCCAACTTATGTATCCACATTTAACTCATTCACATTTAACACATTCACAGAAATGTATAAAGACACAAATTATGAAACATACTTTGAGCTTAAAAGAGAAATACAATCAACAATACGAACCGCAAAAATTGAGCACTTAAACAAGCAATGTCAGGAAATTGAACGTCTGCAGGCGCTTCATGACGGTTTCAATTTACTTAAGCGATTTAAGAAAGCCTTAGGAGTATATTACAATCAATACCGAAAATATTATATATTAACAACAAAGCTGTTTTTGAGACATACATAAAACAAACATTTACTGACACTAATCGATCACTCTCCTCTCTTAGGGAACCCAATATCTAAAACTGAGGCGGAATCTGCAATAAAAAATCCTGTGGACCAGAGGACATTCCTTTCGAATTAATAAAGTTATAGACGACGAAAACATACAACTTTTAGTATTGCCCTTTAACTACACCTACGACTCAGGCAGATACCCCCAAGACTGTCTGAAATCGACTTTCATAACAATTCCGAAGAAAAACCACCCAAGACAATGTACCGACTAGAGACTAATTATTTTGATGAGCCATGCTCTCAAAATATTTCTAAGAATTATACATTCCAGAATATCTAAAAGATGTGAGGAAGAAGACCTACTCTCTACATATACAAGTTTTAATACAGAAATATAGAAATGTACAAAAGGACATATACATTTGTTTTGTGGAAAAAGCCTTCGATGCCGTACAACATGGCAAAATTATGGAAATTCTCGTTGCTATTGGTATCCAAGGAAAGGAACTACAATGCGTTGCATCCATCACAACTTTGAAGCCTGCAAGTGATACTCAGCTTTGTTTCCTGGATCGCTGCGACCTTGATGTTCTTCCGACTCATAAAGCTTACCACAGTTCGCCGGACATATCAATCGTGTCCCCAGATCTGACAAATGACGTAACGTGGCAAGCAGTCATTTCGCTAGGCTCAGACCACCTCTCCATTATTGTCGCCATCAACAGACCACCCGATTTCGTAGACTCTGAATGCCGCTCTTTTCTTAACCATGGGAAAGCCAACTGACAAGAATTCAGAGAATATACAAATCGCCGCTATGGAGAACTGTCCAATCCAACTGATGTTCAGGTAGCAGATAGGTGTTTCTGGGACATCATTAAAGCTGCAGCCGCTCGCTATACACCTGCGGAAATAAGACCAAATTTCCCAGCAGACACAGCGGCATTAGCAAATGAGCGAGACGAGCTTCGCCGTACTAACCCCAGAGTCAGGGAACTTACTCTGGAGGTAAACAGGTTAGTCAGTGAGCATAAGCGGAAAAAGTGGCTAGCATATCTGAAGCATTGTATCATCAGTACCGGATCAAGTAAATTGTGGGCAACGGTTAAGTCGCTCTCGAAACCTGGAAAAAAGAATGAACATCTGTCTCATTTAACGGCGTAGAAGTGACAGATGTGAAGAGGTGTGCATGTTATATCACCCGGTAATTCATAGTGCACCCCGAGAGTGACAGGGCTAGGAGAAGAATCCTATGCCGTGTACGATCTCTAACAGTTT